TTCTTAAGTGTGGTTAGAATTTGAAGAGACTTATCACTCTTCAAGAGTGTGGCATTACCAAGCAAAATCCTACCTTTTCCATGTGTGTTAGACATGGCTTCTAACATCATAGGAAGCCATTTAAAGAGCTTTAAGGAGTCCAAGAAGTTAAAGATCCATCTAAGAAACTTGAAGGAGGAACTACATCAATCTAGTCTATCCTAAGGTTTCCATATTATTTCTCCTACAAAAGTAGGTGAAAAAATTTGTGAAATGTTTGTTTCGGCTTCCACCTCCACATGTCGTTAGAACCTTGACTTTGGATACCAATGATTGATTATTTTGTAAAGATATATTTTTATCAAATTAGCATGATTTAATTTTATTCATGAGTTCAATATAGATAGAGAAAATTGTGATACAAGAATCAAATATCGATATTACCCTATTACAAAAATAAGGGGAAAAAATCCTAAAATGATATAAACAAATTAACTTTAAATATTTGAAATGTAAATAAAAGATTCTTATCAAAACTAATTTATTTTCTTAAAGATATTAAGACATATTCCCAACACCTTGATCCTTATAGCTCTAAATTAAACAACAATAATTACAACAATTCAACAATTAATCAACACATGTTATATAATTAATTGAATAATGTATAAAAATCACACAATGTTACAAGAGTAAATATGGTATTCCCTTTATTTATTATTGTTGATTTAGATATATAGATTTATATATATATATATATATATAGAGAGAGAGAGAGGTATAGATTATATATAATATAGATATAGATACAATTAAAATAATAAAAGAAATTTAAAACTAAAAAATAGAGAAATTATATAGTAAGATAATAGTGTTTTTGTAACATAAGTTATTAAATTACGTATTAGAGATTAAATTTTAAGTATATTCCGTGCCTATCATTCAGGTTAATTAAATTTGAACCTTTGAAAATAACAAGGGCTTGGTTGAAATGTGTATTTTAATTATAAAATCATTTTACTTTTACTTTTAAAATTTTAAATAAAAATAATGAAAACAGAAAACACAATCCTATTCCACATATAAACACTTAAAAGCAGAAAATAAATTAAAAATAAGGTGGAATTTTTATAATTAAAGGATGTTTTATAGGTGTTTTTTTCTTCTCCAAAAATATAGGTTTATTAAAAGTAAGAAAAAAATGTAATTCTTTTGAAATTATACCGTAGCCGGGAGTTGAACCCGGAAATTCAACAATCGAATTTAACCAGGTGAGCTACTACGGATTATATGTTCAATTTGAGCAAATAAAATACTTGTTGTCTATTAAATCCCAACTTTCCCTTATAAATTAAATTTTACGATTGATTTTATTTTATTTTATGCTTTATCTAAGTTTGTGTTTTTAATTTTAACAAAAGTAATGGTCATGAGAAAGAAGGAATTTTCAAATTTTAAGTAATATAAAATTGCGCACAAAATATTCAACAGTTTTATAGTACCATGTTTCAAAATATTTTAACATATGAATTGTTGACGGCAATAAAAATAACAATATAGTTATGATATTTATACATTTTACAAAGAATGATAAAAATACAATATAAGCCTACAGACCTAGATTTGTCAAAATTATAACAAATCAAATATATAGTTATGTATATTTTACTTAGAAATATACATATCTTATCTAATATATAAATATTTTTTAAAAGTATATTAATATATACTAAGTTATACTTATTAAATTATTAATTTATCTACAAATATACTAATAATATTATTGATATTAATTTA